CAAAAGACGCTTAAAAATCCTCCCAACTCTCGATTAACTCTCGGCACTTGACATAGAAGGAGAAGAAAATGGAACTAAATTTCCCAAAGCCTCACTTTATAAAAACCGAATGCATGGGAGAGGGGGAAATGCATGGTCAAAGACTTGGACACTTAACACTCATGCATAAAGGCTTGGAACACTTGGCACTTCATGCAAGATGATGCCAAAGCTTCTTACCTCAAAAGTCACGTGAAAGATGCCAACAAAAGAAGATGAAATGCTTGAACAAATACTCACTACATGTGCACGGCATTTTTGGAGATATTGAACCAAATGCACTACATGACAAGGTGGAAGGAATCTTGGACTAATGACTAGCAAAGAGACAATGGGGTGCACGGCATGATAGAGGACAAAAATGATGAGGGAATCTTGGACAAAATACTACAACATGCACACACTAATCACACGGCATAGGCATGCATGGAAAAAGTCTCCACCACTTGGGATAGTGCATTGCACGGCCATGGAGGAAATTGGTGAGTTCCGCACGGCTAAACTACCAATCAAGTGATTAATTATAATTAATCACCAATTAAAGTTTAATTAATAACTTAAGCATAACACTTAATTATCAAAATTATTCCGGACGTAAACGGTACGTCGAAAATAATTTCCGGTAATTTCGACTGAAATAACTGAAAATAATTAAGTCCGAAAAAATAATATCGGAACTAAAAACATAATTTATACTGATAAATAGTTGGGATATTACAGAAAAATGAAAGAATAAAAATCAAATCAAAAGTTGACCCACATATCAACTCAATTCCCAGAACTTTTAAATTTGAAAAATCCCTAAACTTTTAAACTCTAAATTTGATAATCCCTAAAATTTTTAAAGAACCCTAAATTAAAAACCCTAAATTGGATAATCCCAAATTTTTATATAGCACCCTAAATTGGATAATCCCTAATTTTATTAAGAAATCTTAAATTGGATAATCCCTAAAAATTTTACCCTAATTTAAACCATACTGCAGAGTCGCTATTTTTTTTAAGAAACCCTAATTGGAGGCATCCCTAAATTCGTCAAGAACCCTAATTTGGAGGATCCATAATTTTATAAAAAAAAACCCTAATTTATAGAATCTAACACTGTAAGATGGGGGACAGAAAGAGATTATAAAAAACTGTGAAAGGAAAAAGACCGACAACGGAAAATACAACTTATCTTTTGTTGTTTTTGTCCATTTTTTCGATTGGGAACCACAAAGGCAGGGACCACACGATTGATGAAATTGAGGTAGGAAAACACGAACTTCACAGAAGCTTCGTCGATTTGGTTGAGAAGATCGTCGATTCAGGCAACGGATGAACATAAATTTTCATTGAGATCTTCGATTAGGTTGAAAGAAAAAAGTTCTTCGAAATGAGTAATTAGTCGATTTGAAATTGAATCTGACATTTTAATCGTCGATTCAAGTTAAAGTGAATCAGAATTTCCACGTGTATTCACTTTTTTCAAGTTAAATTGATACAATTGACACGTCGGGAAAAAAAAAAAAACCACGTCGATTAAAAAAGCCCAAAATTGGGCCCTGATCATAAATTTGCAAACAATAATGAAAGTGGTGCATCTTTTTGCCAAGTTTAAAAGTAGATCATAAAAATGCAAATTTTAAAAAGTTCATGGTTTTTTAAGCAATTAGGCCTATATAGTTGATGTTTAGCAAAATATACAAAACACTAAGGGGAGAATGACAAACGAGGCACGGTCACGGCACGGGTTGGTCCTACGGGCAGGGAAATCGTACACTTGGCTCGCTCGGCATCTAACAGCGGCTCGCACGTCAAATATGAAGTCCTTCGATGCATGGCTTGTTGATAGACGTCGAACGTGGTGCAGGTCGCGGTGGTTGTCGGCATATTCGGGCTGAACTTTCCACCTGAATGGTATCCAATTTGTGCTGGGGCCCTTCCCGAAATGTATGGAAAATCGAGAGTTTAAACTTCTGGTTGTGTCTATAGTTTTTGGTTGAGACAAATATTTGTGGATCGGTGATGATTTTGGATGTAACTGAGTACATGAAACCAAGTGTAGTTGTAGTATATTGTGGTGTTTGGATATTGAATGTGTGGACTTTCTTGGAGAAGAAGGGACAATTTGCTATAGCATTTCTCTGATGCCAAAACGTGCGAAGTCATCAAGGAAAAAGGGAACGAATTCTTTTGGTGTAATGAAGGAAATCAATGAGGTTAATGACAAATTTACTATAAAAAAAATCTCCTTTAAAGCCATCAAGGCAATTATGGTCGGTCAAAAAGCCATTTAGGGCTGGAACAATTTTGCTAAATACAATCCGTATCATGATTGAAATTTGAAAAGGTCTTCTAGAAGGCTTGCTAAACGGGCGGACGGGCATGCATGTGATGGCTTGACTCGGCCCGCTTGTTTGGTTCGATCAATAATTAAAATAATTTACAATTCGGCTCGATATTTAAATTATGCTAAATAATACAATTAGACACTTATGAGCACATAATCGAAATAAAAATAATAATCGAACACGAGTTAAATAAATCCAGACAAATAACATAAATAATAATTCTATGATTAATCGAAACAAATGGGGCGCTACAGTCAAGGACCGTAAGGAGATGAAGCGGAAGGGTGCTGAGAGTGCTCTTGATCAGAGCAAACCGACCTCCAAAAGAGAGATGCCTGTGAGACCAGCTAGAATTCCGGTCAATCATCCTCTGCCTGACGTCAGTAAAGAACTCATGCGAGAGGTGACCTTATACAGAGGGGCACCGAGATAGGTAATGGGGAGGTCATCCTGCGCAAAACCAGTGAGCTCATGGACCCAATGAGCCAAGTGGTCCGCAATGTGATGGTCGAGGGTGAAGGTGCTCTATTGCACGCTGACCAGCTGACCAGAGACCCAACTATAATGCCCCAGGAGGTGAATGAGCTCAGCCAATCCATTGTTATCTGCATGAGTGAAGATAATAATGTCATCCACATAAGAGAGGTGCGAAATGGGCAGACCATAGCCACTCGTGCTATAGGTCATCCTCGAGAAGTCGCAGATGAAGCCGTCACGAGACAGATAGTCTGCCGTTAGGACAAAAAGAGAGGGGATAGGGGATCCCCACGTAGAAGGCCACAGGAGGAAGGGAAGAAGTTAGTAGGGCTACTATTAACTAGAACCGAGAACGTGCAGTACTCCACGCACGCCTCCACAAAACTAATCCAACACTCAGAGAAGCCCATCCAAAACAGAACCTCCCTGAGAAATGGCCACTCAACCCTATCATATGCCTTAGCCATATCTAGCTTCAGCACAAGGTTCGGGGCTCGTAACCGGTTCACGTGGGAGATGTCATGGATAATCTCCTGAGATAAAAGGATGTTTTAACTGATGACTCGATCCTTAATGAAACCACTGTGGTTCGGAGAGATGAGGGAAGAGAGGAGAGGGGCTAGGTGATTGTTAAGGATCTTGGAGATAATCTTGTTGGTCACATGACAAAGGCTAATAGGTCTCTAGTCGGACCATGAACTCGGGCCAAGTCTCTTAGGGATCAAAGCAATAGAGGTCGCTGTGAAGGACTCTAGCATTTGGTGACCTGAGAAGAAGTCCACCACAGCTTCCTCAACGTCAGTCTCAAAAATATCCCAGCATGCCTGAAAGAAGAGAGACGAATAGCCATCTGGACTAAAGACACTATTGGGATCAATCCAAAAATAGCCTCCCTGATCTCCTCCTTACTAGGGAGGTCACATAGGTCAACAGGATCGACCGTCTGCGGGATGGTGGGAAAATGGGAAGCGTTGGGGGGCATGACAAGTCGCGATCTGAGGTGAAGATGGACTGGAAGTGAGCCACAACCGACTCCCGCATTTGGGACTCCTGAGTCAAGGGAGACCCGTTATCCTTGAGACAATGGATGTACGACTTAAGCTGCTTCTACCTCACAAACCCATGAAAGTACTTAGTATTATGTTCCCCCTCAGCAACCCAGCGAACAGTAGCCTTCTGCTTCCAGAAATCCTCCTCCATAAGGAGACGGAGCTGGTACTCAGCGTGGAAGCGGCGCATCGTGGTCTTATTCTCTAGAGACGAGTCCAGATCATATGCTTGCTCAGCCTCCGCATACGCACTTTGAGCTGCAGCAAGATACTTCAAAACGCGCCTAAGTCTATCGAGTTTGGCCTCCAGGTCGCGCATGCCAAAAATCCCCATCGGATGGTTCCAAGAAGTCCTAACCATGTCATAGAACATGTGGTGGCGGATCCACATGTTCTGAAATTGAAACAAGGAGCGATAGGGGGTGTTCGAAAACCAACACGGGATAAGAAGGGAAGCATGATCAGATTCAATTCGAGGGAGGTGTGTGGCAGTCATGACCGCAAACACCCTCGTCCATGCCTCAGAGATTAAGGCATAGTGGAGCCTCTCCTTGACTCTGGCCCTCTCTCACGTGAAGGTTGAACCTTCGTAACCAATTTCAATTAACTCGCAGTCCGCCACTGCCTGAGAGAAATCTAAGATCTCCGCAGAGCAATCTGAATGGCCGCCAGTGCGCTCATCGGGATGAAGAAAGATGTTGAAATCACCGCTAATCATCCATGGTGATTGTTTGTTATGTTTTTTTGCTTATTTTCATGTGTTTATTTGTGTTATTAAGTCGGTTTTAGGTTCTTTTTAGTGTCGCCCGGTCCATTTTGTCGTTTTCCTTGTGTTTTCGTGTCTTTCGTTTTATTTTATATTTTGGCGTACTTGTCCGTGTTATTGTTGCATTTTTTAGGTGTTTTCCGAGGATGATGAGGAAGTCGAGCGAAATTCCCGAGAATGTCGAGAAGTTCCGAGCCATATGTACGAACAATTCTCGATCGAGTATGTCAAGCCCTTATTCGAGCCGGACGCGTGCAGCCCAGGACTCGCGACCACGCAACTTTGTCCGCGCGCTCGCGGGCGCACCTCGCGACAGCGCCTACCGCACGGCCGCACATGCCTGCCACACTCGCGAGCCCGCGGAAGCTACCGCAACGTCGAGAGATCCACACCCGCTGAACACCCGCTCACTCGCGCCATCGCAGAAACGGCCGCGACCTCGAGAGCTCTTCATGCCCCACCCGCGTGCACGCGGAACTCGCCGCGACATCGAGAGTGTCTGCTGCCCCGCTCCCCGTACGCGTCCGCGCGCTTGCATCAACCCCCGCGACATCGAGAGCCTCCTGCCCCAATACACAGTGCACCCGCGCGGTCGCGGACATGCGCGCGCCGTCGAGAGTGTCGCCCAGCCCCGTGCGTCCGTGCATTCTCACACCGCGAGCTCGCGGATTTTGAGGAGACGTCGAGAGTGTCC